CTGATATTTAGCAAATATATGTCTCCGCGATGAGTTAAAATCAGTGAACTTCAGCACGATAAATGTGAAAAACTACGTCTACCTGGAACAGCCCAACTGACCCTGTGAAATCAAACGAACAGTAAAAATAGCATGGAAGATTTCTGAAAGACGGAAAATATTCTTATCTGCGAAACTATCCTTGTGCTTGAAACGAAGTTTTCGATCAGTGTGTACCACCTGTGCTGACCCATTGGAAACGTGGACCTTAAGCCTGAACCCTGTTCATTAACTGCAGACTACACAACACAGCATGAAAGGATGTATGCTGGGAATAACAAGAAAGCGAATGAACAGGTAAGGGTACAAAAAAGAGTATTCAATGCTATTGCAATAAGAACCGAACATCGCTGGACGAGACGAACATTATACTGGGCTCCAAGAGACAAAAGCGGTTCGAAGGAAAATCTGCGGATTACTGGGAGGATGAGAGGAAGAAGTTCGCTGCATCAAGATGGATAAGAATCGCAGGAAACTGCAGCTTATGGAAAAGTCTTGGAAAGGCGTTCATCCAGCAGTGGACCGAAAACGACTGATGATGATGGCGGAATAAAGGCAAACATGTTGCAATAATGACACCACTCCCTTTTTCTTGCCTATTCATCTAGGTGTTTCCTCATTTTGCTACGACGAAAGTTTTAAAATGTTTCCCTTTAACAGCCGGATTCTTTCTTAACTATTTTATTGGCATTTCACTGAAGGTTGCGATTCTTGAACACAATATCACTTACTCGAACGGTCGGTCTGTTAATTAGCTCATCAGTCAGTGCGTTAGTAAGTAAGTCAATCATAAAGTCAAGTTTACAGTAAGTCAGTCAAATCAGTCGTAAGTGAGCCCTAAGGCAGAAAGGCAAGATTTCCAATACCTGGATATAACAAATGAACAAATACAAAATGACATAACAAGAAGTGAACAGTGTATCACTATGAGGGTGACAAGAGTCTGGTTCAAAATAATTGTTCGTTTTACCTGATGTTTTCTCTGTTTATGCAATTCATATGTTCCCGTAACTTTATCATTTTTTCAGTTTTTCCCCAAACTTCAATAAAACAAATGTCTTCACAAGATCAAACATTGCAGAAATAACTATATAAAAATACCAGTACAGACTAACTTATTAACACTAATATTCAAACTTAACAACACAAAGTAAAACAGATACCGAAAATGTATCGAAATATTCTCCTTCATGTTCAGCTGTAGGAAAAATGGTCGCTAAAATCAGCAACTTAATCAGCTGCGTCACGAAATATATGCAACCGGCTTGAGCACATTTCCAATAGGTACTGTACTCGGATCTGAAACAAAAATATTAATTACCGACCGTAATCATAAATAAACATAGATGCGTTTCGACAAGAATTGTATAAACCATAATACACAGAGTATTTGGACATGAATGGTAATTTTAACAAGGACATTACATAAAATTTTCAGGTATTGAGCGCCCAAAATGACGTGGAAGACGTTAATATCCAGCCGCCATTTCTTAACATCATCAGTCCAACGACGCCTGCGTTTTCTGTTCGTCTCGCCCCACAATCGCCATCTTCAAGTCAGATGTCAGACGACAGCGAAAGGCAGTTATCACCATAATATTTTTGTAAGTTCCCTCGAAAATCCAACATCTGGGTCTTCGTCGTAAACAGCGGACAACAATCGAAGTCGTTAGGCTAACGAGGCACTGACAACCAAGCGCAACATAGTTCATCCTGCCTCCTGAGGCAGCCAACCCAAAGATAAGAACACTCTGAGTAAAACTTCATATGAAAGGACTGAGAGAATCCGTCTGTATTATCCCTAAGTTATTACGCTGTGAAAATTGTTTGACATGTGAGTCATATACACCCTGAGAAGAGAACGGTATCTCTTGGCAACATTGCCTGATCGGTGATATGCGGTAAGGGTAAGAAAATAAGTCCTTCGCACAATCTGGATGCTCCACGTTAGGAAATAAGAACAGCGACATTCTTAAAACTTGAGAATATATACATGGATATTACTGCATAAAGTAGCAGAGCGTATTCTTTGTCAATTTTAATTTCTTCCCGGATTAACACAGATGAATCATTTTTTACAACAGTATTGATGTAAATCAACCACTGCTGGTTTTCAAAAATAAAGCTCTTCCGTCGCAATGCTTTTGGGAATCATTGCCGTGGTGCCACGAGCACGTATTCATTCATATCGAGCTACAACGGTCTCTTCCTCCCTATGATACATACAGTACTCCGGTTAACGCTATCCGGTAGAACGGAAACTGATTCTTCATAAAGCTCCTTGATCCAATGTCAGTTATTATTTTCTCCGTACGCTCCTGCGGACAATCAATCAAGAATTTATCAGAACAAAAATGCGCACAGATATAGCGAGAACAAACGAACGTAGTATACAGCGTAGAAAGTAAAAAAAAATACACTTACAATCCGGAATGCATGTAAGTCAAGGCAAACGGCGCTACTGTTAGCGTAACGCAATTAAGGAAGTGGAAAAAAGTCATGATTACTAAATTATTTTCATCGCCCAACGGCTGAATTCAATTCTGATACTACAGTCGTTTTCAAAATAATAATCATCAAGTTCAAATAACAGTTATGAGTGAAGAACACTCGATTGTACGGAACATATCCCGAAAGAAAGAGACCTTCAGCAGAATTGGCTATTTCAGGCACCGCTGTGAAGTATGATCCGCAAATAGACCATATTTGCCGTATATTTAGC